TCTGGATTGATCAAGTTCAAACTTCACACACACATGGTGCATCATGTCACAAATAAATATGTGCATTTGTTTCATGATCCGCTTAACAATAGCTGAATGATGGCCATTTTAAGACCGAAAATGCATTAAAATCATGTATTTTCACAATTCCGGAACCAGATCTCAGTCATGCATGGATGGATTTTGTTCAGATTTAGTACAATGTGTTGTACATATGCAGGTGCATTTCGGTCATGATCTGCTTTGAATGTATATGTCACTCAAATATGAACGGAACGGGGACGTGTCATTGACAATGACTTGTTGACAATTCAATCAGACTGTCGGGTTAGGACGGAGATTAAGGCAAGTATAAAGTGTTCATAATGGCGCACGTGCATGCATACAGTCTCGTTTTGTAAACATTTGTTGGTATAATGATTTTGATTCATAGAATATCTGCCATTGTGCTATTGATACGAGATTATATTCTCATTTGCATGATCGCTATGCTCACAGTCAGTAGTAACTTTTTCATAATTTACTGAAAATTTGAAGATGAATTGGTAAAACCAACATTATCATATATTGGAAAAATTAATGCAATTTCTTGTTTTCCACTTAACATATTTACTAACACTAGAACACGTCCAGGCAGTGCCCAGAAAAGGTGATAACGACTCGTATATAGCTTGAAACATTTTATCATGAACAAGTTTTGTACTTTATCGTTCGTTATTGGAATCAAAAAATCTATTTTTTAATGTAGTTCAATTGGGGGGGGGGGGGGGGCTATATACCCAACCCTGTTTTGGCAGCTACAATGCTTAACCAAATATCTAATTTTATTACATTCAACCATGCATTCAAGCAATTGTAAGATACCAACTGAAACTTATCCTAGAATATAACATGAATATTTTGCCAGAAACTGGAGGTGTCAAATTGCGCCGCTATAGATGACCTGACCACCCCCCTCTGTATTAGTCCTTTTTTTTCTGACTGCTAATGGCGTCCTAAATTGTTTGTAGATGCATCAATTCTATTTGAGCTGCTTTTAGGCGAGGGTTCTCCAAACCCGCCTATTCACATAGTTCATACCCACCATAGACTCCGGTCAGTCAAAATGACTATTTTGAACTGTGTAGGCATTAATCATCGATTATGCCGGTGACAGAGAGATAGAATCTAGGTCAGGGGAATCCCCATGACCCCAAGATTCTTTTACCCTTTAACGTCACGAACCCACTTGACCGCGGCCACATGGCAGTGCCATAGACAGCCGTCAATCATTCTGTTTCCTTTCTCTCCGCCTCAAGGACTTAGACCAATGCGACGGAAAGAGTGGGGTGGTTGCGGGGAGAACCGGAGTCTATGGTGGGTATGAACTATGTGAATAGGCGTGTTCGGATAACCCTCGCCTAAATTCACTGCGTTCAATTCCCCACCATAGACTCCGGTCAGTCAAAATGACTATTTTGAACTGTAGGCAGAGTCAGACGCCGATAGGTGGTAGGTTTTTCCCAGCAAACAGAAAAAAATGATGAAAGTCTTTTCTCAGTCCGGGATGAAAACAAACTCAAAACCTTAGTTAAGACCCAAGAGACTGGTGTCTTACCTTGCCTGTGCTGTCCCCGAAGCAAGAAGCCAATGCTGCTGTGGTGACAGGGTTCGGTGTGCCTGAGAAAGCTAGACCCAAGCCGAATTCAGGGGTGATAAGCTTGAAGTAGGACCGAAAGAGTTCGCATGAGGGTGTAGGTCGAAAGAAACGAAACCTGGGAGCTTCCAGGAAGTGCTAGTGGTACAGACAATCTGCCCGCAAGAATGCCGAGACTGACTTATCGCAGGGGCCCCTGCGATCGTTCGGGCTGGGTCAGTAATCAAAGCCTGACCCGCTACGACGGGGCCTAACCTGAAGAGACCCTGCTCAATAGATTGGGTGTCTCTTAGGTAGTAGTTGATGAAGACGTTCTGCGTTCTCCAGAAGCCTGCCCTCAGAATGTGTTCGAGGGGGGCGCCTGACGCTAGCGCTAGTGAGTTAGCAATCGCACGGACCTCATGTGCTCGTACTTGGTGTCTCTGCAAGGTCTGTGTTGAGGATAGTGTATTATAGATCTCCAGTACAGTCGCAGTAATCCACCTGGAGATGGATCGCTGCGTAGGACAGACCCACTTTGTCAAACAAGTGGACAAAGAAGTCTGCTACCTGGCCGATAGAGGGATGGCATGGATCAATCTCCCTTCCACTACACCAACTGGTGTGTGCTCGCCATTTTGAGTTGTAGGCAGCGTTAGTGGAATCCCTGTTTGCCCTGGCCAGGACGTTGGCAGCCCGCTTACATGGACCTTTCATCTGCGCGAGTCTACTGAGAGCCTCCATGCGTGTAAGTGGTACACTGCTGGGCTTGTTGGTAGTGTCCTGTCCGGTTGGGACAGCAAGTCCGGTATGTCGGGCAGCACTACTGGTATTTCGACTATCATTTCCAGCAGGAGCGGAAATCAGACCTTGGTCGGCCAATTGGGTGCCACCAGAGTTAATATGCAGGTGGGCTCTTGTCGAAGTTTCTCCAGTACCCGGTGAATTAGCGGGAAGGGAGGAAAGGCGTACGCATCCATGCGGGACCAGGGAATCATTAAGGCGTCCACGGCCCAGGCTCCTGGTGTCAGCAGGAGTGTTAGGTACGTTGGGAGCTTGGCGTTCTGGGGTGCGGCAAACAGGTCTATCTTTGGACTGTCCCACAGCCGAAAAAGCCTGGAGGCTACCCACTGGGGGATCTGCCACTCCGTGCTCTGGAGATGGAGGCACCTCGAAAGGGCATCTGCCAGACCATTTCTCACCCCTAAAAGGTGGTGTGCAGTTAGCTCCACATTGTATTCCAGGCACCAAAGGAGAATTTGCTTTGCTAGGACCGACAACGATGGGGAACGCGTCCCCCCTCCTTGTTGGTGGATTAGACCACTGCTGTGTTGTCTGTGCGGAACAGGACTCTGTGGTCTCGAACTTCGGGTCGAAAGCGTGAAAGTGCTAGGTGCACTGCTTCAGCTCGAGCCAGTTGATATGGTGGTCTCGATACTCGCCTGTTTAGTTCCCGTAGGTGAGCTCTGTGTTTCAATAACAAGCCTTGGACCAGGCGGCTGCATACTGCGGCCTGGGGAACTACTCTTTGAACGGAGGTCATCATTCCAATGAGCTGCATTAGTTCTCTGAGGGACACTGAAGGAACGCTGACTAGGTGTTGTGCTAGGTTGCTTAGCGCTAGGCAACGCGCTTGAGATGGGCAAACCAGGCCTACTTCGATGTTGAACTCCATGCCCAGAAACACCAACTGTTGAGTCAGGTCGGGACTTTCTGTGATTTACTAGAAAGCCCAACTGGTGAAGTAAATCCTGTGTAAGCCTTACATGTCTGGCTAATAACCCCTTGTCTGGGTTGTGTAGCAACCAGTCGTCTAGGTACGAATTGATGTTTACCGACATTTGGTGGAGCAGCAGTACTACCTGTTTCATCACTCTGGTGAACACGCAGGGCGCTGTGGATAACCCGAAGGGGAGCACCCAAAATTTGAATACTTGGCCCAGATGGACGAATAGAACAAGAGAGCAACTCGCTGGGTGCAGCGGTATATGCAAGTAAGCGTCGCATAAGTCTAAAGAGACTAGCCAGTTGAGCCGGTGGATGGAGAGTAGGACACTGGATGGTGTCTCCATGTGAAACTGATCGAGAAGCACATATTGGTTTAGTCTGGTTTAGTACTGGTTTAGATGCCAGCTGCCTGTAGATTTTGGTACTACGAATACATTTGAGTAGAAGCCCGGACTTAGAGCTGGCTGAACTATTCTGTGTATGGCACCCTTTCTTAGCAAACTGTCTACTTCCTGTCTGATTGCTTCGGCCTTGTGGGGATCCCCTGGCAGTGCCCCCAACGGGGGGGGACACTGACAGGGGCGGTGGAGACGTCAGTGGTTTTCTGTAACCGCGTGTGACCACCTGGAGCGTCCAGGGATCGTTTTCCCACTGTCTCCAAGCCGGAATGCACCGGCGCAATCTGCGTGCGACAAGGATCTGTGGCCATGGGTTCGACGGTTGTAAGAGGGGGGGTTCTCCTCTACCGTGAGGTAAGCCTCCTCGGAGATCACTGGGGTTACTAAGCTGTAGCCTGATCACTTGCCGAATGCAAGCCCATCCCCACCGACGCAGAGGTATGCGTCAAACATGCTTACCCCGCTACCGGGGTTGACGACCACCCGAGGAGGAGGAGCCACCACTTGGTCCTCTCTTTCCCTGGGGGGCGCCGCTACCCTTCCTTCCCGTGAAGGGTATGAGCGCTTGCCTCCTGGCTTGCCTCCTAGCGGAGCTAGTCCTAGGGCGTTGTGCTTTCTGTGCTTGGGGCGCCCTCTGTTTGCCATTGGCAGCGGCCAACTGGCTAGCGGATTCGACTTGGACCATTTGGTTTGTTACACCCTGAAGCTCTGCGACTGCACCCACTATCTCCCAATCAAAGAGGGTGGGCGATGTCCAGTCTGTGTAACTGAGGCGGTGGCGTAACCCCTGACAGTTCGCGTCCCTGACTCAGTTCGACCTCGTCCTGCTGCACAGTTGTAGCCCCGGCCAAGAGAGCCATATGACACTGGAGGTTATCGCACATAGCCGTGCGGTGGCCTACCATTAACTGTGTCACCTGGTCTAGGAGGCGAGTGCGCCAGTGTGGTGCCCACAAATTCTAGGAAATTGATGGGTCACAACTCTGCCCTCAGGGCATGTTGGATAGTCTCAGAATGGGTCGATGAGAATTACCATGATACCTGGGTCTGGGGAAGGAGCCTTGGGGTCTGGTCGGGGTCTTCTGGTTTCGCCCCACGAATTTGGGTCCGAATCCGAGATTGCCCCGATGGGGTACCGTTTAGTCCAGCGAAAGGGTTATGCAAAAGATTACCCCAGCCCGGCGCTTTTGGCGTTACCTCCTCCGTGGCTGACCAACGACCACCCCTCAACACAGGGGAGACGTGCAGATGGGGTCGATCTGGATCCCGGCGCCTGCGATCACATCAGCGTAGAAGCTACCGTAAGTGGCTGCTTTAGGATCGATGGTGGGGGAATATACATAGTGTCACCTGGACTGATAATATTCCGCATCACCCCAATGGCGTGGCTCACCGAGTCATTACGCAATGTGGACTCTGAGGTACCCACTGTATCCAACGCGAACGAACTGCCACCTCTCAGCCTAATTATGTGAGCGAGAGCATGTTCGAGAGTGCGTCTCATAACAGGGTCGGTTCCTTCTGGGAACGCCTGTGGGTCAGCAGCGGAGCTCGGACTTGAAGGTAAATTAATCAGTCCGGTACCGCGCAGTGAACCCTGGCTGGTTAAAAGCGGGGGGGGAGGTACAATGTATGTCCTGACCCAAACGCCCTGCCCCAAAACAAAGCCTTGGCTACCAGCGTCCCCGTTGGTGTTACGTGTCTGAGGTTCCCGAGGAGACATGTTGCCACTAGCCTGAGCCTCGGCCTCCCCCGAATCAGTGGGGGCGGGGTCACGGCTGGGAATGGGGGTTCCCCAGAAGAGACGTGTTTAGAATGCAAACGGTGCTTTCTGTGTTTCTTCCTACTTGCCGGCTGAGAGACAGCTCGCTCCGCCTGCAGGTGATCTACTCCGCCTGCCAGGGATGCAGTTTGCCCTAACAGTCCTTCGACCAATGCCCTCATTTCAGCGACAAAACCGGCGCCATGCGAGGATGGATCCACAACGGGACCCAGCGTGGGCCCCATAGGAGGAAAAACCTCCAGGGGCACATCCTCGCTGTTGCCGGTAAATTTGGGTATCTTATCCATTTCTAAATACATTATAAAAGACGACATGCATGTGAGAAACGAATTACAGTTGTAAAAGGTGCCGCCATGAAACCAACATATGGTTACATAGTGGCGCCAGGTTTTAATTTCTTTGTTGTGAAAAGCATAACATACAAAAGGGACACAAGGGTAAAAAGACAAGAAAAACTTATCCTACCAGCTAGAATGTCGGATGCCGCGGCTGCGGCGACGACCCATGCTAGAAACCTGGACAGGAAAAAGCAACAGAGCCAGGCAGAGCCGCTCTGAATCATTCCCCGACGAGGCGGAGAAAAAAGAAGAGTGATTGACGGCTGCTCATGGCGCTGCCATGTGGCCTCGGTCACGTGGGTTCGTGACGTAAGGGGTAAAAGAATCTTGGTGTCATGGGGCTTCCCATGACCTAGATTCTATCTCTCCGTCAACGGAAGAATCGCTGATTAATGGCTACAGTTCAAAATAGTCATTTTGACTGACCGGAATCATGGTGGGTAATTGAACGTAGTGAATAGAAGTCTGTTTTGATAATACTCGATAAAACAATTGCAGGGATCACAGATTGGTCTGTGACCGCCATCCGTAACGCTGGTCGCTGACTCCTCGAAATGAGGGCCTACCTCAGGCTCATGGCCATGAGAATCGGAATGGAAAGCGAGATCTACATAGAAATACTGGAGAGGAAAAGCTAGAACACTAATTCAATATAATCAGATCAAAGGTTATTAATTAACACGTAATGAAGAGGTATATCAAAATATATACGGATCAAATAAAACCAGGCATGTGGTCGTTACTGACTCATTGTTCACTGTACTCATTGTTGCCGTGTGACGACCACGACTTTGACTTTGACTTGTCATAGCGAAACGAAAATTATATGTTGCTCGTAAGTTCGGTCATTAACTGTTAATTAAAGTTAGAGTTATTATATTTGGAATTTCAACAAAAACAAAAAAGTAGATTGTCCATAATTCGAAGTACTGTTGAACATCGAGTTACAACTTGAGCGTAGTTTCTGAAATATGGGCGTGATCATTTTGTAACTCGATGTCCGTAACTCGAACAATACAGCATCTCTAACGTGTTAGTTAATATAATACAAAAGCTAAGGTTTATTGACCTATTTAGGCGTGATTCGACTTCCATTTACTTACGGAAATATATAGTAGCTTGTCATCTGGAGTCCTACAGATATTACCGTATTTCACAGTAACCATGGGTAACAAATACTGTTATCAGCGGGTCGACATGTCGGCGAAGACGGTAATCGTCACTGGTGCAACTGCAGGTAAATAAATGAGTATGCGACAGAGGCCGCGGGATTCGCAATCCATTTATAGATAAACAAATTGCAATGCGCACTGCCTTGCTTTTCTTGTGTGTTGTATGTTATTTAGACCAAATCGCCTACTACAGTAGGGTATTTCGTGAATTTCTGATTAGAAAAAATTTGTATTTGAATCTGAATTACGCAGCTTGTTTTGCTACTGACTGATATTTTACCAACTATTCAAACAGGTATCGGCTATGTCACGGCTAAACATATAAGCATGATGGGTGCAAAGGTCATCCTTGCTTGCAGATCAGAAGATAAAGCGACACAGGTAAAAAGTGTTCGTCCCCGTAGTTAA